ATATTTGCTATAGCAATCAACGACGTTACTTTTATCTTAATTGAGTAGCTTTTTGAGACTATCATTAAATTCGATATATGAGTTGTGTTCATCCTATTTTGTTTAAGGTGATGAAGGAGTGGTAGTTGATTTTCCCACAATGATATGAATGGAGTAAGACCAGTCTTTTTACACTGATTAGTTTAATTCTCTTTGCTCACGTATTTTCCAACTGGCCTTTGTCTACTATCTTTGATTCAGACATAACAACTATCTAAATTACAACTTTTATGAAAAGGACGGAGTCTAAGGCAACCCTTTTTCGGTATCTAGTGCGGTCAATTTAAGGATCCCTCCACCCGCCTTCTAAAATGAAATGAAAGGTATGCCAGTTTTAGTCTACTAAGGGATTCTTCGCAACCCAGCTTCTCGTAATCTAAAAAACAATCAATTGATATTCTTATCTGACTTTTCACTCAAGGACTCTCGTGGAAATGTGGCGGAGTGGCTAAAGTCGAGCTTACACGCTGCATTGTCATGATTAGACTCCCGCTGGTGGTGTTGATAAGACCGAGGTAAGGCCGAAACTGCAGTTCACTTGTGCCTGGATGAGAACACCTTTTAGGAAAACAAGGATATGGGAACTTCAATGGAGACGTCAGCCCTACTCATATAATTGCGTGAAAACTCATCTACCAGTTCTTAGTCATCTTAAAAGAAATAGGTTGAATACACTTCATTTAATTGATATACTGGTAGTATCGAAACTACAATTTACTCATTCTTGATATAAGATTGCCATCAATGAGATAAATGCATGAAGTTCTTTATAATGAGATAAATTAATGCTCTTTTCATAAACTTAATTTAATTTTTCCTTTTATTTTTCGCGGTCAAATCAAACCTGTTTAAGTTGTTTGATGGATATGATGCTTACATGGAAGCAGATAGAAGAGAAAATATGGCCCTTCGCGAGGAAGTAGACGAAATGAGAACTAAGCATTCCCGAGTGTCCAGCCATAGTGACCGATCGGACGACTATATAGCAGCACCTGATACAGAGGCTCATGAGGTTCAGTCACTTTTTAGCCCTGCTCGGATACTTCGAGGTCGATCAGTGACTCGGAACAATAACATCTCGAATTGGACGTTCGAAGCAGGCTCATCTTCAGTTGCAACTGTTTCATGTCGCCTGCCCCCACCTTCTCCAAGACGTCGCAGTCCGGCCTCTGGCCGTGGTTCATCTCGTATGACCACAGTCTTACCGTCTTCGGGGACTCGGGCTTTGTGCGGGACGCGAATCCCTCGACCAATTCTTTCCGATCAGAGCCCTCAACGTGGCGATCGCCAGTGCCGGCAGCAGACACCATTAGCAGATACCGAACCGCAGCAAACTAGATCTAAAGCTGAGGCTATTCATTGCCAAAGTGTTACCCTTCATGCTAAGACCAGAAATTCCGTGAGTAAACAGAAGCTTACTTCTATTACAACTAAATGCCAGCCAATAAGCACCCCTGTTAGAGACCTCATTTTTCTCACTTTTATACAACCGTCCCAAACTAGACGTGATCTCCAAGTAACTTTGTCAAATGATTATTTCTCTAGTAACAAATATGTTCTTAAAGTTTAATTATGTCCTTATTCTTTGTTTACATGATGAATAGCTATGTGATACTTCCAATGGAAATAAGTGCTTCCCGAAATTAACCTTAACAAACCAAGCCTTGCATTTGACTGATATATTTTCGTCCATACTTTATCTACCCTTTTTTGCCTATAAAAGGTACAGAATCTAAACTTGCATGAGCATAATGTTTTAATTTCTTTGAATTCCACTTGTTAAAACATTATATCGCCCTCAACTCCTCAATTGTTTGCATGAATTGCACTTGTTTAATGTGGTTGTTGCCTTATTATCAATAATGCTGCTTATAACAGATTAAACTCCAGATCTGTCAATAATAGTTTCAATGGCAGAGCTAACTATGGCCAAAATTGTCACTAGATCCTAATAAAAACTATGTTCTGAGTGGATCACTTTGGTGAATTGAAGCTTGATATTTGTTGCTGACCTCTGCTAAAGAAGAATGGCTGGTCAGGCGCTTGAACCTCATTTAACCTTGATTCAATTAGCGGCTACATATTTCTCCTTCCACGCTTACAAAGGAGTAGATTTAAATCATTGTTAGCAAGCGTTCTGGTGTGTAGTTGCACACATCTCAGTATGCTGTGCTCATGAGTCATTTGAAATGTTACATAAAGGTTTAATAATTCTGTAAAAGAAGGCTATAACCGACTAAAATGTTATTCCTTCCTATACATTTTGTAAACCTCTTCAGTATTTCGCAACCTTTTTTAAAAGTCCGAAACTAGTATTAGTAAACGAGTAGGGTTACCCATCCGGCCGTTATTCTCCAAATAGTTATTATAACTAAGCCTCTTCAGTATTCTGGAATAATGGATAGTGGCTATAACCGAAATATTTTTTGATATTCCATTTTCTTGCCCTGATGCACAATTATCGTTCTCATTTTTTTCATAATTCCTAATTTAGCTCCATATATTAGACTTTAGAAGACCTACGCAACCGAATAACTACATAACTTAATTAGACTTTCGCCCTATTCACTCCTTGTTCTTAGATTGTTGATAATTTTTATGAATGAATGCTTTGCTGTTTGGCAGCACAGAAAAAAGTCCGGAGAATGTTCCTAAGTTAATGAAAAGGATAGATGGGATGGATAAATTAACCATGAAGTCAGGAAATGCTGGTAGGCTAGTTATTCTAAGTTTTATAGTTAATAAAGAAGAAATATAGGTTGGTAGGGATATGCAAAGGAAACGCACAAATGCGGGCTACGTTCTTACTATCCTTTTTAACCCTGATTTTGGAGTTCAAGAAGGAGTTATAAAATCAACATCAATGAGGTTACGTCAGGCAGGCGTAAATCACCGTGACAACGAAATGGAAAGATTAGGAAAAGAATACTTTAGAACAGTTATCCTCTAGGATTAATTGACAGTTATTTCATAATAATAAGAAGAATCACTGGGGAAATCAGCAATCCGGAGCAAGCTGATGGATCATTCCACTCGTCTTTATTTTAATTTATTACTATCCTTTAAAAAAGCTATGCGAACTACATAGGATGTGGTTAATATAATTTTTCTCGGTTTTTTCTTCATTCGAGAACTTTCAGACCCTTTTCCCGGATCAGGTTTTACTAACGCTCTGTGCTCTTATGATGGCCTCTTTGTTGAAAAAGCCTATCGTCTCATCTAGTAAATATGATTTAGATACAAAAACTGCAAATGCTACTTGCTCCAGACATCTTTGTCGAATGATCAAACGAGTAATGCCATCTGCTGGTTGGAATGCTCTATAACACAACCTTTTGCAAATGTATGTGTAATGTCTCATCGGTGGATCAGGAAGTCAATGCAAATTTTCATTAGTACTTAGGTCGTAATAAAAAGGAACGAGTATAATAGATCGAGCTGGAGCTATTTCTGGCCGTTGGGTAAGCCAGATGAGCCATTGATTAAGAAGAGGTATGATAAACTCTTTTTATGGTTAAGACTCCCATATCTCAATTGAGTCATGAGCATTGCGGGCATGCAATAAAGAAAAATACGTTTCAACATCGCAAGATCCAAATACAGTTGGCTTACTCAAACACACCGCTTTTCCACTACATCCGTATATATTTGACTCTTCCTCCTAACCAAGCCAAGATTGAGCAATAAAAATTAGATGGCTTACGGCTCTGACGATCTCTGCCTAGGCGGATAAGGCAAAAGCTCGACGCTACTTTATCCGAGGTCGCAAGAGTGTCGGCACAAATTGACTTCTACAGTTTCAGGATAGTCCCACTTGGTGCCTGGTGGCGTTATTTTACACATTTTTTCAACTCACATTTTTACTTTAAATAAATAATGTTGTGACAAAACCCGTGTTTAGAGACAGGTTTGGTAGGGAAACTTCATGTTTGTCATTAAAATAATTATATTAGGTTTACTTTCAAGTTACATGTCATTCTGGATCAAAAATCTTATCCTCAACCAAGACTAAGATGAAGCCTTCTTATTCAATCATTAGTAGCTTAGCTATCCATGCTACAGTCAACATCATCGTCAAAAAGTTTTCAGATTTTCTTTGGTTACATCCGGAGATCTAAATCTCCCGTGGCCGAATTTATCCTAAGAGAAACTGGCTTCTTTTATTGCAATTAATGAAACGAGACTTCTGATACAATCTCCTGAATCCTACACCTGAAGCTATTTCTTTCTAAGGAATTCGGTTGCTTAAATTAACACTAGATTGTTGTTCACAAATGACCATTATTGCTGTCACATAAGGGTATAGTTTTATGCAGCCCACTTAGTAACTAATTCTTTAAGGTATCAAGCCAAATAAAAAGTTAGCTTCAGCACCAGGCCAGATCAAGAAACAGCTAATATATGATCAAAGTTGGGTATGCCTCACAGAAAGTGTCTGCAGCGCAGGCGAGTCTGTGTTTATGAAGTGCGTTTGGAGTTCGCTATGAGAGAGGAGAGAATGGATGAAGTTTCTGTGCTGGTGGTGGCCTTATAACTGTTGGACTTTCTCGGCTGACGGAGGCGATAGACTCTCAGAAGCAAGTGTTGCTGATTTTTTTATTTATTTGGGCATAGAGCCTATTTTCAGGGACTTCGACGGTTTGGGGAGGAGGGTCTTCTGGTTCTTGGAGGTCAAGCATTTGCCTTTTGTTGAAGGGAGACGCTGTCTCATTGGTCTCGGAGACTTCAACCTTGATCCTTACAAGGCGAAAAGTTGGCATGAAAACTGCTGGTTTAGGCATTAAAATATAGTATGGAACAGTGGTTTGACTAAGGGATATGAGGATGAAAGGGCTTGTACTGTGAAAGACCTGCCCAGCAGAGCCTTGAGCTCCTTTTATTAGACAGTTTGTGGAAAACGAAAACCTGCTTTTGATTCATCTATAAGGATTTTCCTGGTTCTGAGCCATAAGGCAGTGACAGGCAACGCTAATTGTAGGCACAATTATAGGCTCTGGAGAGGCAGTTGATGAGAATGTGTCAAGTCTGTGGAAGGGGACTG